GGTTGAGGAGGTGGTGGAAGTAGACATGGTTGAGGTGGAGATGAGAGTGGAGGTGGTGGTGGAGGTGGAGGATGGTGGTGGAAGTGAAGGCGGTGGTGGAGGTTGAGGAGGTGGTGGAAGTAGACATGGTTGAGGTGGAGATGAGAGTGGAGGTGGTGGTGGAGGTGGTGGATGGTGGTGGAGGTGGAGGATGGTGGTGGAAGTGGAGGCTGGTGGAGGTGGAGGAAGTGGTGGAAGTAGATGTGATGGAGGTGGAAGTGGAGATGAAAGTGGATGTGGTGGTACAAGTGGACACAGATTTTAACAACTCAGTGTTTGCAAACTGATAGTAGAAAGCTATAAGAAAAATTTCCTTTTTTTAAAAAGCAGGTTTTTTTTTTTTATTTTGTGGTTGTTTGTATATAAATCAACTCACAGACCCATCAGTTCAGCCATTTGTTTCTACATGTACAGTTCATTGGTTACATTTTTTTTTAAATTATGCAGCCATTCTCACCTTTTCTTTTCTGAGCTGTTCTTTCCCTAATAACTTAAACTCACTGGGCTGTAAGGTTCCTGTTTACTCTTTGAAGTTGTTATCACTTTGATCCCACATAGATAGACCTTCAAAGAGCATAATGCTCAACCTGACATTTTTCACTGGCTAAGTTAAACTATTATTTTTAAGAAGACTTCTGGGGATATTTTTGCTTTAAGGTTTAAAAATTGTCTCAGGGCATTAGATTCAGTAGATTAACAGTGCGACTTCAGAAAGTCCGGATTCAAGAGAATTTGACATTCTGTTCTACCCTTCTTCTTTTTGGTCAAGATACTAATCTAGTTTTGTTGTTGTGTGCTGTTGGGTCAGAACCGACATATAGCTGACCCCGTGGTGGGTTTTCAGAGGCAGTAAATCACACAGGAGGAGACTGCCCATCTTTCTCCCATGGGGCAGCTTGTAGATTTGAACCACATGCCTTTGGGATTGCAGCACAGCTTCTTATCACTAGACCATAATGTCTTGGATAAAAATGTTTAGTAATGATAGCTAGATAGCGATACCATCAAGTTCTTCTGGTCTATAAGACCATTTCTTTAACCAGCATGTCAGAAATTATGTGGGAGGTTAACACGACCGTTTAAAAGGACTTACTTGGAGAATCTAGATGATTCTTCCATTTTTTGGTGCTGGTTCTCAAACCCATTTGAGTGTCCCTTCTGTGATTAATTTGAGAGCCAGTTTGAGAATGGTTTATTAATATTAATTTACCTATCTTAAACATATCATTTACATAGGCTTAAACATGTTTCATATCCATTTTGCCCATTTTTAGATTTCAAATCTGCCTTCAAAAAATTGCGCCTGGGACTAGTAGAAAGAAATAGACATATTGAATGGTTTAAAGAAATTAACTGATGGGGAAAGTAGGTGTCCTTAGAGCTTACAAAGCATGGGTTCTAGCTTTGGGTGAACTCTTTCTAACCTGAACTGTTTAAGCTTAGCTAAACATTACTTCTCTCCTTAAAATTTCAAAAGGCTTCCTTCCCTCTCAGACTTAAAGCCTGAGTTTCTGTTCTGCTCCATTGGAATTCTGTTGTTAAGTCCCCACCTTGGTACTCTTTCCTCTCCTTCCTTCTCTAGACATTCCTGCTCTGGGCCTTGCTGACCATTCCTCGCACATATTTGTATGCTTTCTTCATGCGTCCCTCCTTCCCTTCAGGTGTTTGTGGTTTTCTAGCTTGATCTTCTTAACCACAGTTTAGTAAGCGGTAACTTCTCAGCCCCTGCTCCTGTTCTGCTTTATCCTTGTTTTTAAAATTTCTTTAACCAAACCAAAATAAGCCACAGTCACCGCTGCTGAGTGGATTCCAACTCATAGCGTACCCTTTGGGACAGAGTAGACCTGCCCATAGTTTCCAAGGCTATAAACGATACAGAAACAGACCACCACCTCTTTCTCCCTTGCAGTGGCTGTTTGAACCGCCAACCTTTTTGTTACTAAACAAGTATTTTGACTACTACCTGATGCACAATTTGTTGTGTTTTTGCTTGTTGTCCCTATTTTGCTTGAAGGCATGGATTTTGCCATTTCTCATTCATTGCATTTTCTCATGTGTAAAATAAAACAGGGCCTAGCAACTAGTTGTACTTGATAAGAATTTGTCAGATGAGAAAATGAATGGCCATAATGACTGTGTAGCTTAGATGTTCCAGGACATATCTGAGATCAGACATTCTGGCTGGAAAAATGGCACTGGGGGTGGAGGGGTTGGACCTCCTTGTCCGTGGTCACAATGGGAGAGGAGGGATATTAGCATCAACACCTCAGGACCGGTTCCTATCTTTATGGAGGTCAGAAGTATCTCTTCTGTCTAACCTTTTTACCAACTCTCTCATTAGCCATCCCTCTCAACAGAGGTTTGATAATTCGTTGCAATGGCCACACAGAACTCATAGACTCATTATTACATTTATAGGGAAATAACAGGCTACAGTTCAGGGTCAAGAACACTCAGGATATAGCTGGTTGGTCAGGACAGCTGCTTTCAGGTCTGCCTTAAAGGCAGGCCTTTCTCTGGCTCTCAGACTTGACCTGACTTCTGCACTGTTAGGTAAGTTTACAAAGCTCTTAGCTCTGGCAGGGAAGGCACTACTCGGCCAGTATACTTTAACTGGACAGGACTTGGCTTTCTTGCTTCATGAGTTGGTCAGTCTAGCTTTTCCAGGTGTCCAGAAAGCATCCCCTTTGCCTGGAATGCCTTCTACCCGAAGGCCCTCAACCCTTTTACTCTGTGATCAATGCTGCAAAGCCAGGGTAATCCACCACAGCATCTCCTGTTGGTTTTCTGGTTCTCTTAGTGCTGTTTCTTGCCATTTCTCACGTCTTCACTGTTACAGCTCTCTTAGGTCTCTGTCCATCTCAGCACAGCCACCCTGGCTCCAAAGACAAACTCTCTTCCTGGCTCTTCTTTCATGATGGTAGTACAGTCCCATGTCTGCTTTGGGATTGGCTGTCTTTTAAACGTGTAGATAGCAGAATTGATCAGTGCCCTCATTAGGATTTCATGTACTTTCTTCTTTAATGACCCCACTGCACATCTCTAAAGGTACTCTACACCCTTTTGGCATCACTTACTCACTGATGTCAAGGCCGTTCTGACTCATAGAGACCCTCGTTCAGGTTTCTAAGTCTGCAAATCCCAAAGGGCAGAGACTGCCCAACTTCTCCTGAGGAGCCACTGGCAGATTTGAACCACCAGAAATGCTTGGCCTGTGGGATGCTTAACAATACAACTTGCTTCAGAGCTCCCTTTCTCTTGGCATGTTGATGTTGTGTATCATTGAGTCGTAACTGAATCAAAGCTGACCCTCCAGTGTGTTTTCAGAGGCAGTAAATTGCACAGGAGGAGGTTGCCCATCCTTCTCTCCGGGAGCAGCTGGTAGATTTGAACCTCCTGCCTTCAGTACAACTCCTTACCCCCTAGACCATCACAGCTCTCACTCAGTCATTTGGGGGGGAATTCAAGAACATGGCTAGAACGACTGGATTAATCATTCACTGTAGCATACTGGCCCATTGTCTCAATTGAGCGATTATAATACTTTAAATGAAGAAACGTGATTGTTTGTTTTTGATTGTTTCAAGCCCAAGATTCCATGGTTCTCTATAACCCATAGATCCTGGCAGATAGCAGGCACTTTCTAGAAGTCTGTGGATGAATTGGATGGAGTTTGACATGGAGCTTCTGCTGAGCTTTGTTTTTTATATTCCTTGTTTAGTAATTCCAGACCCTGTGTTTCTACAGGGCTGCGATTCACAGTGATTATTTCCAGAACCCAAAACTTAACATGGGGTGAAATGGTCAAAGCCTGGAGCTAAATGAGTTTGGATTAAATGTAATTTGTTTAATTCCACTTGGTTAATGACTAACCATTACAATTAAGAAGCAATTAAATGAATGCCTGCTGTGTCTGGGGAAAGCTGAAGTGGCTTTGAGTTCGGTTGGGATTAACACTGAGGCTTTGTCATCTTGGCTGACAGGATTTGACCCTAAAGCATGGCTGGCGGACTGGGGCAATTATCCCAGAATTAAGATCCGAGCTCAAGATCATGAACACGGAGCAGTATATTCAGACCATGACCTGGCTGCAGACCTTGACCGGGCTCCTGGAGCAGATGCAGGTTTGGCACTCTTTTTTCCTCTTGTTTTATCTTTAAGCCTGAAGCTTTAAAGGGCCAGTGTTATTTCTGGTATTTCTTGTTTCATTTTGATTTTAAAGTAGTGGGCTTATGTCTTTCTGTTCTCAGTTGACTGCAAAATCATTGTTGTTGGCTCCCACAGAGTCAGCCTTGATGTATACTAGTCTCATGTGTAACAGAATCAGACTGCTGTGATCAGTGTGTGTGTGTATCCTTGAGTAATAATTTATTATATTTTTAATGTTAAGTTTACACAGCTAATTATGTTCTCTTTTGAAACAAATTGTTTCAGCACAAAGTAAATATGTTGACTGATTTCAAAAGTAGATTACCAGGCCCTTCTTTCTGGTCTGTGTTAGTCTAGGAACTCTGAGTAAAGCTGTTTGGCAGCATAGGAACCCCTATGCCTCCACTTCAAGAGGATGTGACTTCACATAAAGTGCATTTGGTAGGATTCGAACTCAGGTTCCCTATGTGGATGGTGAGGATTCCACCACTAAACCACCAGAGCTCTGCTCGGAACAAGCTTCACTGAGCTTATTTCATCCCCAAGAGAGTTTGATAAATGGCGATAGTTATAGAAAGGCTTCAGTCTTTTGTTCATAAGGTGCTATGAGTTGTGCTCGACTCAACGGCAATCATCATCAACAAGAGTATTTGCTAGATTTCTCTGAAAGCATCCTTTTTTTTTAATTTAAATTTTTTTTAAAAAATTTATTATTTTTTTGGTGTGTACCATCAAATCAGATCTGACGGGTACAGGAGGAGATTGTCCCTCCTTCTCCAGCATCTGGTGGATTCAAACCGCACGCCTTTGGGATTGCCGTGCAGCTTCTTGCCCATTAGGCCACCAGAGCTCCCCAAAATATCTTTTAAAGTGCTCATCAACTGGGGAAAGAGCCATAGTGGGGCCTCAAGAAATGCAGCTGTTTCCTTACAGATTTCACTTCGATACCAAGCCCTGCTGGTGCAGAGTGGTGATGCTAAAAATCTTCCTCATGTTTGGTTCCCATCTTAGTTCTTTCCTTAGCCTCCTGTGGAACTTTTCTGTTTGGGCCTCAGTTTCTCCATCTGACAGGGAAGGATCCCATAGAGTGAATGTTCTAGGCACCAAGGCTTCCTGGGTGATGTTCACTGCTCTAGAGTCAGAGTCGGCCCACAGCTGACCCTCCAGTCGGTTTCCAGAGGCTGTAATGGCACGGGAGGAGAATGCCCAGTTTTCTCTGTGGAAGCAGCTGGTGGATTTGAACTGCCTGTCTTTGGGTTGGCAGCACAACTGCTTCCCCACTAGGCCACCTCCTCAAAGCCAATGACAAGTTCTCGGGATCCAGCCTCTGCTTCACTTCAAAGAAAATGCCTACAATTATCCTCTTACTGGAACCCAGAGGCAGCCTTTTCTTTCCGTAAGTCACAGTCTGGACAGGAGTGGCGACTGCAGTTTTGAGTTAATAATTTTTTAGTCCATGGAAGCTACCCCTTTCTTGAAACTGTGGCCCCTTTTCTCTGCTGCCCTCCCCCCTTCCTAATCTCCTGTAACTCCTTTCTTTGCTTCACCCCAGTGCTTTCTCCATTGTACCCCTAACTGCAGCCATCTCTTTGTGAGTCGCTAATTTCTTGGGGTATGGGTCACAGGTTCTGTCTGGCTCGTTTTGAGCGGACCCTCTGCTGAGAACTTCCATTTCAACCCCAGATATATGGAATTAGAATCTGTGTTAACAACATCCTCAAGTGATTCTTAAACATCTTGTTAAAATACAGTTTCCAATTCATTTTATCTTGGATATTGTTAGATACCATCGGTTTGATTATGAACCATAGTGACCCTGTGAACCACAGATCTGAACCCTGTCCTATCCTGTGCCGTCCACATCATCTCTGACATAACTTGAGCCCATTGCTGCAATCACTGTGGCAGCCCTTCTGACTGAGGGTCTTCCTCTTTCACTGACCACCCTTCCAAGCAGGAAGAGCCCTGAATATCCCATAGACTGCCAAAAGAACAAACAGATTTGTCTTGGAGAAGGTACAGCCAGACTGCTCCTTAAGGCAAGGACGGCGAAGCTTCCTCTCATGTACTGTGGGCAGATTGTGAAGAAAGCACTGTTCCTTGGAAAGGAACGTCATATCTAGGATGGAAAGGCAAACTCTCTTCAGATGGTAAGACTGGAATGGGCTGGTTCAGAGCCCAGCTGTTAGCTCACACCCTGGAGTCTCTCTGGCCATGGTGTGCTGCCCGTGCCTACCGGGCAGCTTTGGAAACAGACAGGGCCCTCCTGACCTGCCCCAGCTGGCAGCCACGTGGATGGAGCTGGCTGGGTCACAGACTCTGCCAGCTGAAGCTGCAAGCGCTTGGCAGGCCAGCTCGAGGTGCATGCATTCCTGAGCGTGGGGCGCAGCACGCCTGCTGGCCCTGCTTCCAGTATCCTCTGGCTAGATCCGCTCCTGGCTCTCTGCTCAGCACTTGGTCCTGCTTCACTTGCTATGTTTGTCTGTGAGATGAGTGTCTAAAAATACAAAGCATTATTCCGGCTTAATGTAGTTTGAAATCTGCACATATAATACAACAGCGGTAATGATGTTGTTCATTGCTCTGTAGTTCAGCCCTGACACACGGTGACCTTCCGTAGAGCGGAGCACAGCTCAGTGCTGCCTAGAGCCATGCGCCACCTTTATGATCATCTGTGGCTCAGGGTCTGGGGACAGTGTGAGGCGGGCTGGGTGGATGCATATCCCCAAGGAGCTCCTTCACTGGCTGAAGATTTCTGGGGTCATGTCCCTTCAGGAACCTCGGGGTCTGTTGGAGATAATCTGTCATCCTGGCTTCCCTCTGAATTCAGACCCTGTGAGGAGACAGGCAGACTTCAGAGGGATGAGCCGACTACCTGTTCTCTCTCTGGTAAAAATGGGCTTGAGACCTTGAACACTTTTTTGTGTCCTAGCCTGCCTGTGTGAGGACAGTACCCAAGGGGCTGACAGTACAGAGGAGAATTCACCTGACCCCTGGCAGCCAGGTGAGCCCTAGCAGTGCACTTGTTAAAGCACCTCACTGCTACCCAAAGGTTAGTAGTTCGAACTCACCAGTTGCTCCAAGGGAGAAAGATGTGACATTCTGTCTGTAATGATTAAGGCTTGGAAACCCTGTGGGACAGTATTACTCTATCTGATTGAGTTATGAGGGAGCCCGGGTGGTAAGGAGTTGTAATTCATATTGAACGGTGTAGTCTTTGGTCTTTAGTAAGTGCATGAAATTTCCTTCACTTTCAGTAAGCAGGGTTGTGTTATCTGTGACTTACAAGTTATAAAGGGCGCTCTGGTGGCCTGGTGGTAAGGAGCTCTGCTGCCAGCCTGAAGGCATGTGGTTTGAATCTGTCAGCAGCACCATGGGAGAAAGATGGGCAGTCTCCTCCCTTGCAGTTAACTGCTTCTGAAAACCTGCTGGAGGGTCAGCTATGGGTCGGTTCCGACTCTTAGGTACTCAACACCTACATTTGAAAGTGTGGGGTTTCGGGATGCAAGCTTCCTGCACAGTGGGGAAACCATGTGTAGTTTACAATTGACCAACACGGATTTGAACTTTGCAGATTGACTTATATTCAGTTATCTGTCCTCCCACTCACCACGGTTGCTGTTGCAATGAGTTCAAATGTTTCCAGTATCCCCTTAAAACACTGTATGGTGCTAATCATCTCTGCTCGGTACCAACTAGAAAAAAAAATCTATGTATAAATGGGCTTACAGTTCAAAGGTCAACTGTATAGCCTTCCCCCCTTTGCCCCTGCTGTTGTGTACCATTGAGTCAGTTCCTCCTGGCACAGGAGGAGTTTGCTCTTCTTTCTCCAGTGGAGCATCTGGTGGATGCGAACTGTGCACCTTTGAGATTGTCAAATAACCATATATTCCTTTTTTTTTAATGTACTATTGAGTTGGATCCAACTGGCACAAAGGAGTGTGCCCCTCCTCCAGCAGAACATCTGGTGGATTCAAACTATCAACTGTATATTATTAAACACACACAAATATAAGAAATATCCTTGGGTGATGTGAACAGTTAAGAGCTTGAGCATTAATCCAAAGGTTGACGGTTCAGACCCACTCAAAGGTGGCTTGGAAGTCCAGCCAGAAGATCTGCTTCTGAAAGGGCACTTCTTGAATACCCTCTAGGACACAGTTCTGTTCTGTAACACATGAGATCTCATGCAATTGGTGTGATTTCATATGTAAAAAAGTGCACACACTGAATGGGGATGAGTGTATGAAACACAATATGAATGAAGAGTAGTATGAAACACTGTGTATGTGAATTTTGTAAGCAAATCAGTTTAAAATAAAAAGTTATTTATTTGGCACTTGTTCAAGGACAAATATTTATTAAGTGATAGTGACTTTGTACTTAAATATAATTTACCACAAGTTCAACAGAGGGCTTGAGTTAGGAACAACCACAAGTCCCTTATCAGACACATCATTATCAAATATTTTTCCCAGTCTGTGGCTTCCCTTTTTACCCTGTTGGAGAAGTTTTGGATGTGCATAAGAATTTGATTCTTATAAGGTCCCACTCATCTATTTTATCCTCTCCTAGCTGTAGGTTTTTCAGGATGCTTGGAAGACTATTCATGTTGTAGATTAGGATTCCTAGAGTTCTTCAAAGTTTTTCTCTAATGAAGTTTACAGTTCTTGGTTTTAGTCCTAGGCCTTTGATCTACTTTGAGTTGTTTTTGTGTATGGAATGAGGTGTGTATCTTGCTTGAGTTTTCTGCAGTTAGTTTTCCAATTTTGCTAACACCATCTGTTAAAAAGGCTGTTGTTTCTCCTCTTAACTGATTTCATCTCCTTATCAAAAATCAGTTATCCATAGGTAGATGTGCTGATTTTGGGGCTCTCAATTTTATTCCATTGATCTATGTGTCTGTCGTTGTACCAGTACCATGTTGTCTTGACCACCACAGCAGTGTAGTAGAATTTGAAATCAGGGAGTGAGA